TTTTCCATTATGGGAGTTTCACTTAGAAACTTTCTGGAAGGGCAGCGACTGTCTTCGATTGTGACGGGTGAATTGAAGAAGCCCGCCGAAACAGCCGATGAGAAGGAGAAGGCCGACTGGGCTGCCTACAATGCACAGGTCATTACATGGTTGCTGGGTGATGTTGATGTCCCGACTGCCCTCAGTTTATGTAGGTTCCGCACTGCTCATGAGATGTGGAAACACATCTGTAGTACGTACTCCCAAGCTGATACCTCTCGGCTTTATGAACTTGAGCTAGAGCTTGGTCGTTTAGCTCAAGGTGATCGTGATGTACACAGTTATTATAAGCATGTGCTTCATCTATGGACTGAATGTGATCTGGTTACTGCATCTTTATTGACTGGTGAAGCTTCAGCTGAGATTCAAAAAGAGCGCTCTCGGACACATGTTATGCAGTTTTTAATGAAATTAAGGGCTGAATTTGAGCCCATTCGAGCCTCCTTAATTCACTGAGGGATTACCGATTTGGATTTCGTTGTTGCTGAGCTAATTAGGGAGGAAACAAGACTCAAAAGTCAGTCCCACATTGAACATCCCACTACCGATTCTGCATTTGCTCTGGGTCGATCCAGTTCATCCTCTCGTCCACAGTTCGCCGCACCTCCTAGTAGTGATTTGATCTGCCATCATTGCCATGAGTCAGGGCATGTTCAAATTCACTACAAGAAACGCAATTACTGCAATTATTGCAAGAAAACAGGTCACATTGTTCTTGAGTGTCCTCCTCTTGTGAAGCGGGGCAAGGTTCGCTATCCTACATATGCTATGCCTTCTGGAACCTCTACATCAGCAGGACGCGTCTCGTCACAGTCTTCAGGAGCTGTTTTTACCGTTTCGGACATGCCTCGTGCGCAGCCTGAGGTCTCTTCTGGTGGACACAATGTATCATTATCTTCTGACTTTGTTAAGAAGCTTGTTCAGGAGGCATTACAGGAGGCTCTGCCGCAGGCCTTGACATCAGCCTTTGCTACCGGTGCTTTCTCCGGTAAGTTAGCTAAATGGTTGTTAGACTCTGGAGCTTTTAATCACATGACCCATGTCCGTCATACTTTTGATAAGCTAGAACCTGTGTCGACTATGCATCTGCGGGTAGCAAATGGGGATCAGATTCTTGTGGTTGGTCGGGGTACTGCATCTACGGGCTCCATTACTCTACCAAATACATTATGTGTTCCTAGTTTGCTGCCAAATCTCGTTTCTGTCGGCCAGTTAGCTGAAACAGGTTGTGACGTTAAGTTTAATTCAACCGGTTGTGTGGTACAGGACCAGAAGACGGGGATGGTGATCGGGAAGGGAAGTAAACATGGCCGTGTCTATGTGTTGGACGAGCTGGGGCGTGCTCCACAAGCAGCCGCGGCGGCTCCAGGATTCTCTGCTTCTGCTTCGCTAGCTCAGTTATCTTGCAACTCAGTGAATTCAGTCGGATTGTCTTTGTCCAAGAAAAAAACTGTTTGGGATTTATGGCACTGTCGTTTAGGTCATTTGCATTCTGCCAGATTGTTAACTATGTTTCGTCGGAATTTATTGCCGGGAAATTTTGATTCGTCGTTTGGATCTCGATCGGATTGTGTTAGCTGTATTGAAGCTAAAGCTTCTCAGAACTCTTTCTCATCTAGTGACACCATTTATGCAGAACCTTTTGATCTTGTTCATACGGATTTGTGGGGTCCTTCACCCGTCACGTCGCGTTTGGGTTATAAATACTTTGCTCTGTTTATTGATCACAAAATGCGGTATGCGTGGGTATTCTTCCTTCGAAAAAAATCCGAGTTATGCTCTATTGCTAAGGAATTTGTGCAGCATATCAAGACACAGTTCGGCAAGACCATTAAAGTTATACGTTCTGATGAAGGTGGCGAATTTACCAAGCATGAATTGCTCGACTTCTATAAGTTCGAAGGTATTGTCTCTCAAATGTCCTGTCCTGGAGTGTCACAGCAGAATGGTCTTGTGGAACGAAAACATCGACATGTTTTGGAATTGACTCGGGCATTATTGTTTCACTCTCATGTTCCCGGTGGGTACTGGGTGGAAGCTGTACATACGATTGTGTACCTCATCAATCGCCAAATCGCGCCTGTTCTTGATCAGTGTTCCCCATACATGCTCATCAGTCGCCAAATCACGCCTGTTCTTGATCAGTGTTCCCCGGACACCGAATTACTCCTTTATTCGCGTATTTGGTTGTACATGCTTCGTGTTATTACCTCGCAAAGACCGCCATAAGCTCGCACCTAAAACTGTCAAGTGTGTGTTCCTAGGCTATAGCGATCGTCATAAAGGTTACTGCTGCTATGACCCTATTGGAAAACGTATGTGCATCGCCTACCATGTTTTATTTCTTGAGGATCGTATGTAATACTCTTCTGCCTCAACTGGTCGGGATTCTTCTTCTCCCGATGCGGATGGTATTGATTGGTTGACCACGCTGCCACGTTTTGCTGATCCTCCTCTCACTGTCGTGGGAACTCAGGGAGGGTCTGCCTCCTCGTTTTCCTCTCCTCGATATGGCAGTCCTGGACATAGCAGCTCCAGTGGATCCTCGGCAAGTATGAGTTCCCCCAGCAGCTCGTCGTCGTCCGGGAGGGACAGCGTAAATGATATGGGTGATATGGGTTATTCCGCGGGCGCGACGAGTGGAGAAATGGGCATTTTTGCTAGCTCCAATGCTTCGGTGCAGCAAAATGAAGAAGGGCAGGAAAACCAGCCCAGACGTTCGACTAGGACTAATCTGGGACATCCACCAGTGCGCTTATTAGACTATGAAGGTTATGCCACCGAACCTTGTTTTGTACCAACAACGTATGCGCAGGCATGTGAGGATCCGAGGTGGAATTATGCTATGGTGGAAGAAATTGAGGCGTTGGAAGCAAATGGAACATGAAAACTTGTGCTTAGACAGCCAGGAATGTCGGTCATAGGATGTCGCTGGATATATACAATAAAAATGAACCCAAACGGAACGATTGAACGTTTTAAGGCAAGGTTAGTTGCTCGTGGTTTTCTTCAAGAATATGACATTGATTACGATGAAACGTTTGCACCCGTAGCAAAAATGCAAACGGTTCGTTGTATATTTGCTGTGGCAGCTATGAAGGGATGGCCACTTCTGCAGCTAGACGTAAAGAACGCCTTCCTGCATGGTGATGTAAAAGAGACCATATACAAGGAGAAACCACTAGGTTATACCAAGGGTTCATCGGATATGGTTTGCCAGTTGGTTCGATCTCTATACGGTCTCAAACAGGCTCCAAGAGCTTGGTTTGAGAAATTTCACAGTACTATTGTGCAACTGGGATTTGAACAAAGTCAAAATGATCCCTCTCTGTTTGTGAGGAATACGATAGAAGGTGTGATTATCTTGTTAATATATGTAGATGATATGATCATCTCAGTTAGTGATTCCGCAGGAATAAAAGAGTTGAAGGATTCTCTGCATGAAGCTTTTAATCTAAAAGATCTTGGTGATGTTTCATATTTTCTGGGACTAGAAGTTCAGAGACCAGCACAGGGTATTTTTGTTTCACAAAAGAAGTATATCATAGACCTCCTTGAGACAGCACAGTATACAAATTGTAAGCCTTGTTCTACTCCAATGGAGCAGAATGTCAAGCTGCGGAAGGACAGTGGAGATTTGATAGAAGATCAATCGTTGTATCGCAGCCTTGTGGGAAGCTTGGTATACTTGGTTCATACACGTCCTGATATTGCTTATTCTGTGCAAATAGTAAGTCAGTATTTGGGTGTTGCTCGCGCACAACACTTAGATGCAGTTCACAGAATTTTGAGATATCTCAAGCATACTCACGATGTGGGAATGTTCTTCCCTGCTGGTGGTGAGGCAGTTTTGGAGGCTTTTGCAGATGCAGATTATGCCGGGTGTCAAGACACCAGACGCTCAACTTCAGGATGGTGCATAAAGGTAGGAAACTCCTATGTCTCATGGAGGTGTAAGAAGCAGGAAAGAGTTTCCAAGTCATCTACAGAAGCAGAATATAGATCTATGTCCGAGGTGAGCTCTGAGATGGTTTGGTTACAACGCTTGCTAGGAGAATTGGGTGTTGATTGTAGCATACCCATGAAACTGTATGTCGACAACAAGAGTGCTATACAGATAGCTCTTAACCCAGTACTACACGATCGAACGAAGCATATAGAGGTACATGTGCACTACATCAGACAGCTTGTAGCAGAAGGAAGAATACAGCTGAGTCATTTATCTACCGATGATCAGACAGCAGACCTATTGACTAAGGCATTGGCATCGAGCAGACATTGGTACTTATCAGCCAAATTGATGTTACATACCCAACATCAATTTGAGGGAGGGTGTTGAAAATATAAGTACCTTAATGTAATTGTACATATAAGTCCTTAGTGTTTAGGGTTAAGAAAACCTCTATATATATGTATGTTCTTTGTCAAAAAAAAAAAATATATATATGTATGTACGTGTGTACTGGTAACGAGATTAATAACATTGACTTGGAGAGCCTCCTCTCCCGTGGACTAGTCCTGTTGATCAGGGAAACCACGTTAAACTCAGTGTTCTTGTTCGTTCAATTTTGATATCTGAACCTGCTAACAATCCGACTTACTAACCTCTAATCCCTATTTTGCAGCCACGACTAACTCTTATTAAAGCTCACGTGACACACCACGTGTGTGCTTATTATCTGACAAACCTCCCCTAAACTGAAAGCGTTTCAAACGTTTCAGTTTGAAGAAAAGGAACTTTCACAAGAACATAAACTTCTGCAGCAACCTTGTTCTTCAACAAAAACACAGCATCAAACACACAAGCAAACCTTGTTCTTCAACATGAACACAACAACAAACACATAAGCTTCTGCACCAACCTTGCCTAGCCTCCCATGAGACTAGCCTATCACACTAATTTCAAAATGATTCCTCTCATTCTGCATCTTAAGGAATTTTTCATAGACTTCACATTACACAAAGCATGTGATTAATTATTCTAACAAACAGCCTCCCCTAAACTCAAACCTTGTCCAGATTGAGTTTATCGAATTTCAGCGGCAGCAACTGGATTCTGCAGCAACCTCCAACAATCAGCAGCAGATTTACCACGACTACTGCAAATTCTGATCTGTCTCAAACCCATCTGGGATTTCGACAACACCATCATCCTCAAGTGAAGGCATCTCCGACTCATCGCCACCAACCAGATCATCCTCATCAGTGCTCAGCTCAAGCAACATCCTGTGAATCCTGGTTGCCAAAGTGCCCTCAACACTGAACATAGAGGTCGGCAACGTAGTGTCGAACAGTAGTAGCACAAGATCCATAACAGACTTGTCGTTCTTATCAGCATCATCACTCTTCCTTAGCTTGTCCATGGTCTTCTTGCTAGATGTGCATGGACCCATGTTGTTGTCCCTCAAAAAATCAGCCTTCATGATCCTCTTCTTGTTGGCGCTACACCCACCATCACCTTCTCAACCTTATCACCGACGATGGCTTTGATTGTCTTGTAGATCTCCTCAAAGGGGTACTAAGAACATCAACAAAGAATCTGCAAGCTGTCATCCTATGAATCACAGTATAAACAGAGCATACATTGTACCTTGTTCATGACACAAGGATGAATGTTCAGCTAGAACTTGCAATGGTCAGGTTGGATTGTGCATTCAAATCCTCTCTAACATGAGGATGAACTGCTACTCTTCGCACAGCTTCAAGTACTCCACAATCAAATCAGTCTGGTCGAGCAATCCATCTTCTACGTGGTGGATGTCTCCGCTAGCAAGAATTGGAATTCTCGATCTGCTGCTTCTCTTGCTCAGTTTCATCATCAAGCTTGAACCTTTCTTTTGTTGCTTAGACTAGCTGCTTTCCACCCTACTCCTTTAACACTACAATCATCCAACTTCGGCACCAGTTAAGATCTAATCTAAGCTAAATCCATCTTTCTAATCAGTGACCTCAACCAATTTCCATTATCTTTGCTCCTCCATTCCCTGCTCCCAAAGTATCATTTGGATCTTCCTATTGGAATTTTCACCACTAATACCACCACCAATGCTCTTTGCATTTTCAAATCCATTCGCCGCACCCAAATCTGCAGCCATGGCCACAATTTTACTGCTACTCCCACCATTAGAATGGCCTCTCTTCTTTGCTTTTCCATTTTACTTACCATCAGCAGGTAGGCCTAGAAATCCTCACTGGCTGTCCCAGATCTTCTTCACCGAAAGGTTTCTGGTCATGAGCTTTTCTAAAGCTGTTGTCCAAACCATTCTTCCCTTTGGCACGATTCTTGAATTTCTTACTCAATCTGACGACTTTCTCCTTCAATCGAGTCAGCGAGACATTCACAGCTAGAGATTTATTGATGAATTAAAGCCTCTTTTTTCCGGAGGCTAAATCGAAAAAATTAGTGATTAGGGTTCAACTGTTAACCGTTACAAAATCGTTGGTGAACCGTTGATAAAACCGTTCATGATATATAACATATAAGACTTGTATAATACACTAATTTAAAAATAAAATTATCAATGACCATAAACAAATTCAAATTCATATCATCACTAAAATATCTAATAAATCATTCCAACCATCTCACAAAATAAACCACATTTTTTAATTCAAATTAAAAATTATGTTTTTAGTCGGTAGTAGACAACGTAACTGGTTTGATGATCTTAGTTTATCTTAAACATTTTTTTTGTTAAAATAATGAACTAGTGGACAAGTTAAACCGGGCTGGTTCATTTGATTTTATTTTGAACCGTGAAAAACCGTTTGGTCCACCAATAACCGTTCAAGCAATGAACAACACCGCTATTGTAACTGGTTTGACGGTTCTACTGGTCGGTCGTTGATCCGGTTCAGTTCTTGTAACATTTAAAGCTCACGTGACACACCACGTGTGTGCTTATTATCTAACATAATTATCTATTATGCCCTTTAGACACGATTAAGCACTTGTGGTGGCTGTTTATCTTAGCTTAAGAAGTTGCACATACATCTTACAAATCTTACCGAACACGAATGAGATTCATCATCCGAGTGACTGACCAAGTTGTCTCACTCTAGGAGGGATGGCAAGGGCTAGGGATGGCAACAGAACTCGAACCCACGAGTACCCACCTGACCCAACCCGGTCAACGCGGATAAAACCCGTGTTGACGGGTTTTGGGCCGGGTTCGGGTTTAAACCCGCTACACTATTCACCGGGTCGGGTTGGGTTTGGGTTTAGGTAAACCTGCATCATGGGTACCCGCCCACATATAATTACTTTCCCGGTATATTTAATATTCTAAATAATATATTTTCTTTAAACAACTAATATTCTTTATGTTTGTGGAGACATGTATAATTTGTTCTTTCTAATTGTTTAGAATGAAGTTGATATTATGAAGTGAAGAATGAAGAAAATTAGTTGACGAGGAAGAAGCTTTCAATCAATCTTATTGTTTATAGATGTTTATCTTTAATTTTGAACAATTTGTATTGATCATTTACGGTTTGCTTGTATGCTCTAGATTGGTGTTTTTTATATGATTAATTTGTATGAGAAAATTGATGTTAAACTTTTATTTTGAAAGAAACTTGTTATTGTAAATTTTTTACTAGAAAAACCCACGGGTACCCATGAACCCGTGGATACCCTGCGGGTTGGGTTGGGTTTGAGTTTTTCAAACCCCGGGTTTGGGTTTGACAAAACCCGCCCCAACCCGACCCATTGTTGTTGGGCCCATAGTTAAGCGGTATTGGGCCTAAGAGGCCCACGAGGAGATGACAGATCTAGGCCCAAAGATGGGTCCGAGTCACAGCGAGGGGCCCGAGAGGACATGGGGAAAGGAGACACCGTAGGCGGCCACCCTATGATGCGACGGGGAATAGGCCGCCCAACACAGGAGACCGTTGGTGTCAGGAAAAGTAGATCTTTCTAGGATACTTACCTCGTATACACAGCAGGACTGAACATTTAATGCCCGCCGCAGGCGGTCCAAATAAAGCTGAGCCTATCTAGGCCGCCTGACAAAGCATTTAATGCCTCATACTCAAGCTAGCTGACTATAAATACACTGGTATCGGCATTAATAGTAACCAACTACTCTCTCTCTATCTAAACCTAAACAACACTTCTTATTCTCTCTCTAACTTAAGCATTGGAGAGTGTCCGGGGCGACCGCCCACGGACCCTTGTTTTGTAGGAGTTGGAGTACACCCACCATCTGGAACAGACGCCTGGCTCGTTCTGCACAAACCGCCTGGAACAATCCAGGCTTAAACAATTTGGCGCCCACCGTGGGGCGAGCATAGCACTGAAGAAAGGATGGATGGGAGCTCCAACACCCCTGTCAAAGGCGTAGTCGGGGGAGACAGCTTCCGCGGCCAGGAGATCGCAATGAGCGGCATCCGTGGGTTAGAAATGCCCGTGGTGGAGGAAGAGATGGAGATGGAAGATCGCGTCAAAAGCCAAGGACAGCAAATATCAAACATGCAAGAGAGTTTGAGCCAAATCTTGGCCATGCTCAAAGAGAAGGAAGGCGAGGCCCTAAAAAGCTCAGGGAAGCGAACAGCCAAAGGAAAAGGAAGGGACAAGGATCCCGACAGCCCTGCTCCGACAGAAGGTGGGGAGTCTGATAAAGAAGAAGGAACGAAAGATGTCAGTCTGGGGTTCTTGGAGGAACATCTTAAGCTCTCATATGGGGGTGCAAAGGTCCATAACATCCTCCAAAACCCTCTGGCCAAAAGTTTGTTCAGAACTCAAGTACCACCAAACTTCGCATCACTCGGGCTACCGACTTACAGTGGAAGCTCCGATCCCGCCGACCACCTGAGCGCTTTCATACTGAAAATGCAGCTCATCAACGCCACAGACACCGATCTATGTAAGGCGTTCCCGGTCACGTTTGGCGGACACTGCCGAACTTGGTACACCTCCCTTCCTCAGGGAATAATCGAAAACTTCGAGCAGTTCGCCACCCTCTTTTCCTCCAAGTTTGCGTCCCAGCGAAGGAGGAAGTTAACCGTCTCCGCCCTAATCAACTGCAAGCAAGGCAGAGAAGAGACGTTGACCGACTTCTATGACCGATGGAACACTATAGCATGTGAAGTGCAAGGGATATCACCAAGTGTAGCAGCGGGAAACCTGCGCATGTCAACACACAGCTGTGAGCTGCGAAGAGCGCTCGTCAAGAAGGAACATGCACTGAAGAAATGGCCTGATCTGGACCGCCTAGTGAGAAAGGCGATTCTGTTGGAAGATGCCATGATCGTGGAGGATACCGCTAAGCGTGTCAACGCAAAGGAGAAGCCAGATAAGAAAAAGGGAGAATCACCCAAGAGAAGAGGGCGGTCACCGGAAAGACGCAGCTATAAACCACAGTTTGCGACAACAGCAATGCGCACCAGACGCATAGGAGGGAAGAGGATCGAAAGTGGTGCGACTGACATCAGATTCCCACCCACGACACCACAGAGTGTCGGGAGTTCAGGGCCAGTCTGAAATACTTGGCGCCTGGAGACCTCAAAAGCCGCCTAGATACACGTCCTCACCGTCAGGAGGAAAAACACCACAGAGAGAGGTCGCCAAGCCCGAGAAGAAGGTCGCGCACGCCTAAGCACAGAAGTTCAAGTCGCAGAGGAGGGAAAGATCCCCGCGGCACGACCGCCTACCACCACCACCAAGAAGGTCACCTCAACGTCAGCCCCGAATGAATGAGGATGACATAGAAGTCATTACAATCGAGGGCGGGTGGAAGCGATCCCGAAATGAGGGGGACCGCCTAGTCCAGTGCTTGAATGTTAATAGAAGCGAACAAGTGGACATCAGTTTCTCGCCCTCTGAGCTAGCGCCTGATGAGAGCGCAGAAGATCCATTAGTCATCTCCCTGAGAACAAGGAAGTTCAAAGTCACAAGGGCGTTGGTGGATAACGGAAGCTCAGCAGACATACTGTTCTACTCCACGCTAAAGAGTATGAAGATGAGCATGCAAGATCTTAAGCCATCGACGACAAGGTTCTCAGGATCAAAGATCAGAGTGTTAGGCATGATCGCCCTACATGTAACAATTGGAGAGGGGGATGTAACGAAGACCCGCACCATGGAATTCCACGTAGCAGATTGCCCGTCGGCATATAACACTATTCTAGGGCGCGGTTTCCTGTCACTGTTTTCCGCGGTTCCGTCCACTTGCCATCAGATGCTTAAATTCCCAGCAGGGGGAAGAGTAGGACGGGTCAAAGGAAACACAGAGCAGGCGAAGGAGTGTTACCAGGAAACGATAGAAAGCTTGGAGGTGGACTTGGTGGACACCCGAGGGGGCCACCCCCGCCCGGAGGCAGTTGAAGGAGACGCGGAGGTAGTCCTAGATGACGAGGAACCTGAAAAGAAGGTGAGAATTTCTTCCCACCTAATAGAAGAGAAGGCTCGAGAGCTGTTGGCACTCCTCAAAGAGTACAAAGATCTGTTCGCATGGACCTTGGAGGACATGCCAGGCGTCTCAAGAGAACTCGCCGAGCATCACCTCTCGGTGAAAAGTAAGTCGAAGCTCATCCAACAGAGAAGGCGAACAGCGTCCCTGGAAAAGCAAATGGCCTTGGAGGAAGAAGTGAGGCGGTTGTTAAAAGCTGGTTTTATTAGAGAGGTCAAGTATCCTACTTGGTTGTCGAACCCTGTTTTCGTCCGCAAGGCGTCCAGGTTATGGCGAATGTGCATAGATTTCACAAATCTAAATGCGGCCTGTCTGAAGGACACCTATCCATTGCCAAGAATAGATCAGCTCATCGACGCGACCGCCAATCATGAAAGTCTTAGCTTCCTGAACATGTTCTCAGGATATCACCAGATCCGCTTGTCTGAAGAGGATCAGAAGACCACTTTCATGACCCACATGGAAAACTTCTGCTACACGGTCATGCCGTTTGGCCTGAAGAACGCGGGGGCAACATACCAAAGAATGATCGATGCGGTCTTCAAAAGCCAGCTGGGAAGGAATGTGGAGGCATATGTCGATGATGTCTTAGTAAAGAGTAGAAGGGAGGTGGATCACCTGAAGGACTTAAAAGAGACTTTTGAGAGTCTGAGAAAAGAGCGCCTACGGCTAAACCCGCTCAAGTGCGTGTTCGGAGCAAAGGCAGGGAAATTCTTAGGGTTCATGATCACAAGCAGAGGCATAGAGGCTAACCCAAAACAAATAGAAGCCATAACAAGCCTAAGGCCGCCTCAGACTGTTAAGGAAATTCAAGCTTTCAGTGGAAAGATGGCCGCTCTAAGTCGCTTCATTCCAAGATCAGCAGACAAATGCGCTCCTTTCTTCCAAATGCTGAAAAAAATCGGCATCCCGCTCACAGTGGAGTGCGGAATGCGACAAGGCTTTCTTTCAATTGGTAGAGCAACTGACTTCGCCCCCTGTCCTAAGTGCACCGCAGTCGGGTGAACCCCTATATCTTTACCTGGCG